TGTATTGAATGCACTACAAAACGCACTGACTTACATTTTGCGGGAAATCCACCGGATGGAGAAAAATAAACTTTATTGAAAAAGTTTTGTTTTTAAAATTAGTCATTTTTCAAATGGTAGGCTTCTGAAAAATCCAGTTCCCGGTCAAAAAAGTTTAGAAACATCTGATTTTGTTCATTTTTTGATGGACTTTGGAGTGAGACGTCATTCGAATAGAATGGATAAAATTTGACCAAGTTATAGGCAAAAAATCACGGAGGGCGCTTTTTTGAAAATCTTCGATACACCTAATTTTTGAAATTCTATAACTCGGCGAAATCAAGTCCAACCGACCTTAAAATTTTTTCATAACCCCAGTTTTGATCGTAGAATCCAAAAATAGAAAAAAATATATAGGTCAAAAAATTTCGCTTGACCGGCTTTTGGCACTATGGTTGATGTGGTGGCAAAATGTCTCTTAAGGCAGCACCAAGTTTTTCGGATGAATGATTTTCAAGCAATAAAACGAATTTGGTTTAGAAAAATTAGCTTTTCTAAAAAACTATTCAGTTGACATACAACAGCGACTACAATTTTTTAAAAACTTTCCTGTGACAAGTTGCCGACTACCTGTGTATTTGTATTAACGTTTCTTTTTGTAAACTGCACATTAATCTACGAAAGCTTTCAAACAGATCGACTAAACAATTTGAGCATGAATAAATAAAGATCACCTGTGTGTCCCTTGCATAGAATAGCCTATTGGGCATTGTCTTTTGTCCATTGTCTGGCTACTCTGTTGAATTCTTCTTTATTATTTAACATAAGTGCCGCAGCTTCTGCATACGCCGGACTATCAGCAGGATTTGGCTCCATTAACAACATGGTAACAGATGACAATAAAGGTCCCACCTGAGATCTAGGTGACCATGCTGTGGCGTCTTGACTTGATAAACTAACCATGCCATCTTCGTGAACATTTGGATGATACAACCGAGGATCAAATCGAAGGGTAGGTGGCTTAAAGGGGTAGCTAGCAGGAAATTCGATCAAAACTTTAAAACGTCCACCTTCGTAGGGAGTGTTCTCTGGGCCGTGAACTATTGCTCGCCAAACACTAGGATTGGATGAATCAACTAGCTCAAAATTGCTCATATTCTGAGGCGGTTCTCGTTGAATCTCTTCAAAAGCCCGAAGTATTCGACTGGCTGCACCTGGCGTGGGTGGTTGGGTTACGGTAGATTTTGTTTCATTTGGCTCAGCCATCTTTGCTATTTTAAAAGAAAAGTATACGATGTCACCATGAAGCGATGAGTCAAAACAGAGGTCATGCGCTCGCTACAATAAAGACAAATTTTTTCTCGATCACCACGGCAAATAAAGCGAGTTTTAACTGGTAGAAATGAAAGTCAAGGTTTAAGAGAAGAAAGATTCTTTCTCACACCAGCATTGAGTAAAACGTTCAACGATGACTGAAGCAAAGAAGCTTATATTTTTCGTTTTTTTTATTGACTTATAAGGAATTTTATTTACTGTTGAAGAAACCATAGAGAAACTTTCTAAAGTAGGGAAACTGATAGAGTTTTGCACAGGCTGCATTCTCATCTATTTGCTTTTCACAAAAGTCTTTTCTTCAGTCTCTGGTAAAAAATAAAGAAAAAAAGTACGTTGTAACGGGTGGGCCAGAATAAATGACATATTTTTGTTCCTTGTTTTTGAGACACTTCCTAGTGGTGAAAGGAGTTGGTTCTAGGCTCAATCGATAGAGTATTGAATTCTCTACAAAATCTGCTATTTGAATCTCTGAGAACATTTTTCGCGTTGAGCACCATTCAATATTTTGAATGGTGCTGAGTTGCTGAGCTGCGACACACTGAAGTCATTTCGTTTTTTTTAGATTTTTAGTCCGTTGCCTGATGTTCAGTAGTTAATTTTACTACGCAGAAAGATTGAGAATTTTGCGCTGTATCGATCTCACTCATTTACAACTTCATACAATGTTTCCGCTACGTCAACTGGAATCATAATTAGTTCTCAACCGGCTTTTCAATTTTTTTAAATTAAATTAATTTTTCTAATTAATGATTTCAACTGAGAACCTTTGTTTGTATATCAAAAGACGCAGAATTTAATTCTGTATGAGATAATAAGATTAAAATCCTGGATTCAGAATGCTTTACTGCTTTTATAGCCAAAAAACTAAAGTCTGTTAAAAATAGATTCAAAAGTTACCTTTTTTAAAAGTTATCAGTTTTTTGCACAGATTCAACTAGCAGGTTTTGTAGAGAATTCAATACTCTATCAGTCGAGCGTAGAACCAACTCTCTGCACCACTGGATAGTGTCTCAAAAACAAAGAGCAAAAATGCGTCATTTATTCTGACCTACCCGTTATAGACCTCAGAGAGGTATTCATTTCGATTTAGGTCACATTTTTTCAGTTAACAACGTATTTGTTTAGCAGAAATGCTCACCATCAGATCTGTTGGCAAGGTTTTCTATGAAATGTGTTTCTCTACTTCGTTTCGATGAATTTATGTTTTGTTTTGAATATAAAATGTTTTTAAAGTTTGTCTATCATAATCATTTGATGTGTTCTGTTAAAAAAGAAAGTTGTCATTTCTTTTTTATTCTGGTAAAGTACCGATGCGAATTTTTCTTTTGCTTCTGTCTTTTTTCTTTCTTACATGTAGTATTAATGTAAATAGTAAACATGATAGTGCGTCACCGATAGTTTATAGAAGGTAAGAGTTTTTGTGAATTAAGAAGTAAAGTGAAGAGAGAATGCGCTGCTCGATGACGGCAATGTATTAAAGAGGGTGTGGAGATGTTACACAGTAAATCGATATTATGTTGACAAGTTTTTTCTCCATAGTTAGCTAAAATACGACTAGATTGATGTTGATCTAAAATCATCTAGTAAAAAATCATTTCATTTTCTGAAATTCAATAATTTTGTAGAAATTATGCGCTGATCGACGATGACAATTTATTAAAGAGGGTACTCATGTCAGGTCGGAGACATGTCACTGGGTTACGATTGTCTCACGAAACTAATGCAAATCCTTTTAGTTTCCTTTTCTTCAAATTTTTTAGCTAGTGTTCTAATATACCAGATGGAATGTTCTTGATGTTACTTTAAATCCCTCCCCGCCCCTCAGAAAAATAAATTTTCGTTCAAAAAATTAATTTTGAGATTTATATATGGTCAAAAAGTCCAGAATGTCCTCTTTCCAACACACTATCTTTTATGCCTTGAAAAATGGCTTTGGATGGGTTTCTGAAAGCCTCTGATTCTAAGAAACTTAGTTTTTTATTGAAATATCACTGCATATGCAAAAATACATGGCGCACATGTCTCTGCATACACTCATTGGGCTTAGCATACGCAAAAACCTATGGTGAACTATTATTGTATTTCTTTCTATTAAATGTTATTATATTCTTTCCTTCTTCGTTTTTCATTTCGTTAACGTGTTTCACGTTTTTCTCAAAACCTCTTTTTTATGACTATAGCGTTTCCTACTTCCGAGATATCTCCGTCATTTTTTGAGCTAGAAATTTCGAATTGGTTTCAGAAAATAGAGCAATGTTTTTTTTATGTCGTTGCGTCGTTGGATTTTTCAATTTAAGTTTAGTTTCGGAGGGATTCAAAAAGTTTTCGAAAAATAAATGAAATCTCTCTGGCTTTTATTCAACGATGCCACGAAAAACATTTCTTTTTATTATTGAAACCAATCCAATATTTTTAACTCGAAAAATGGCGGCGGAATCTTGGAAGTAAGAAAACCACACTTTTTCACCACTAATTTAAGAATAACTCTGGGAAAACAAGTGATGAGAGAATGCAATTAGTAGAATGACTAAGTTACCTCAAGGTACGAATTGTCTGAAATTTTCATCAAGATTGAATGTTTCCAGACGAAAATAGGTTTCTGAGGGGGAGGGGAGGAGATCCCTTAAAGGTTTAGTTCTTACTTTGGCGTAACCTATTCTGCAATCGTACTCACTTGTACATATTATTTCCGAACCCAAATCCTGTATAACGCCAGCTTAATGATGATATTGAAATATAATCAGGGATATATCCACCGGGTTGTATATGTGTTACATGATATGTCAAAAACTTTCTTTCAACTTGAAACTTAATGAGTAAATGTTTCTCTAATGAAAAGCACATGCTGAGAAAAGTTTCATCCGAACGTCGCATGATCTATGAGAAAGATGTTCCATGAATACTGAGGTAAAATGTAACTATAGAAAATCTGTATGTCGATTAGGAATAACCTCACATCTCGTACTGTTCATTGTCTAGCAGTTATTGACAAAGAATCCTTATCCTTCTCAGTTCTCAACGTCAATATGGCTTTGATAGATAATAATTTCGAGATAACAAACTTGATAACAATAATAACAAGTATTGTTCAACTGGGATTTACTGACCATTGACTGAAAGCCTGTTATGATAAGCGCTTAATTAATGGTCCTTAGTTGGAGGTAATATTTTCACGTGTCGTGGCGGTGAAATGTAGAGCAGAAGAGCGACGTCTTCATCGTCAAGCAAGAGAAGGAAAACGCAGACGTAAGTAGCGTGATTATCGTTAACGCTGAAATCGTTGCATGTGTTTCTTAGAATACCGGAAGAAAGTCATGAACAACCAAGTGGTTCTGCCAAGTAGACGTTCTGGGTCAGTGTATTACATCAGTGTATGGTACATGGGATTATTTTCATTAAGAGACGTGCCATATAAATTAACTTTATCACGTTAACTTATTATATTGGTCTATTTAAAGTGTGTTCTTTTTCCACTTTTCTTTTTTTCCTTAAAACCAACATTTCATGCAAAAGGTTTCGATTTTGTATTGTTCATGCCTAAGACGACAGACCAGATGCAATTGTTGTCACGATCTCGGGCCGAGATCGTGACAATGTAGCCGGGCCACACAAAAAGCATTACTGTATAGAAAATATCGCGTAAGATTGCGAGTTGTGCGACACTATGCCGCGGTTTCAGCTCATGATATTTTTTGTTAACAAACGAAAAGGGCCTCAATTTTTAAGGGAAAAACAACCTCGAAAAAACACTTTCAAAGATAGATCAGACAGTCTTAGGCAAGCCTTTATTATAGAACGATATGTTCTATTGGGATAGTTTTGTAATTAACGAAAAAAAGACATTAAGGACTAGTCATTTTTTTCAACGAAATCGTGTAAAAAAAAGACACGTATCCTTACTGTTAGATTGATTGACGTTCATCAATGACCACGAGTAAACAATATACAGTGTTGGTTCCTAGTGCTGTTTCATTGTTGTTGTTCCTCACTCCTCTCTCCTCTTCCTGTGGTTTTGAAGATGTTTACCTTTTCCTTTTCCCCTTTAGACACGTACTAAGTCTAAATACTAACTCTTAGGGCACGTTTTTCTTCCGTGATATTATTTTTGTTTTTTGTTGATATATTTTATGTGCGTGCCTTTCGTTTTCTCTTATTAACCCTATCCCCTTCCAGTTAGATTCTTTATAGCTAGTTCAACAAATATGGAGATTTAAATCATGTTGTAATCCTGCTATGTTTTGTTTATTTTTATTGTATCCACATTGATAAATATGTCCATCTTTTTTATACTTATATTTGCAAGCGTTCTCCAGCATGACAAATAAACGAATTAATCAAAAAAAAAAAAAATTTATTTCTTTAGTCCATCCCACAGTGGACATCCAGGCGAACATTAGGCAAAAAATCGAAGTAACTCTTTTCTCAAATATAAATAGTGTAAAATGTAGCTGTTCAAATTCTCTATCGAATGGTGTATAAATGTCTATTTTGAAAATGGATTCTTCGAGTAGAAGGCAGTGTACATAAAACTCATAGTGAATATCGTTACCACACTCGAAGATACA